GTACGGTTCCTCACCGCCGCTCTCTTCGGCGTGCTGCAGGTGTGTGTTTGTAGAATGTCGTTGCAGTCGGGTGATGAATGAATAGACGTCAGAGTATCATTGCTGCTACGTGTGTGCTTGTGATTTTTTTTTATCGACCGTGTTTACCGGCAGACCACTGAAAATGCGTCAGTCTCGTGGCGGTACGTGTGTGTGTCTTTATGCCTAGCATCGACCGCGATGAACGGGTGATCACTGAAAATTCATGAGTCTCGATGCGGCCAATATCTATGGTGAAACGCCTCTGTATCTTCTAAGTGGATGTTCGGATAGCATCGACCGCGCTAACCGGCTGACCAATGAACGGACATCTGTCTCAATGCGGTTAACCCCAGCAACAAGCGCTCGTAATCGCCATGATCTGGGGCCCCTCGAGGAAGGTTTACGGGATAGGCTAGGCATTTCTCCAGGTTCAAGACAGAACCGGCATAATTTGTTGTGAACTACTGTGTTCTTGTTTTTTTTTCCCGGCGGTTTCATTTTGTTGGTTTTCCGGCAGGCGCTGCCGCTGCTTCACGTGATGCACGACAGCTCGCACACGGCCTTCGGCCGAACGCAGAACTGGCACTCGTTCGGAGGGCGCCTGTTCATGGATTTCTACGCCGGCGCCAACCTCACCTCATGGCACTACCAGGTACGCAAACAAGCGGACGGCTCCCCGAACAGTCTCCCCACCGCTTACCACCTGAAAAGAATAGTGTGTAACTGTTTTATATTAACTTGAAGTTTGTACAAAAAGTAGTATGTATGTCAGAACAATCTACCGCCCACCGCCTTTGAGACGGAAGAGTGGAAGGCGACTGATCGGAGACTAAGGGTCGTGCTTGGATCTGATGGTCACGAGGGGAATCGGGTTGAGCGTGGCGAGAGCTGTGGCCAACTAGGTAACAAGCGAAGTCGAGCGCGATTGGGAGATGGAACGCGTCTCGCGTGCGCGTTTCGGCGCTTCTTTTCGACCAAGTAATGTACTGAGTTCGTAGCGCTAAAGTAGGGAGCAAGCGGTTACAAAAACGAGCCTAGCTCTAGCACTCTGTTACATGTAAAGCATTTCGTCCATTTTCTCATCGAAGCCGTGCACGTGTTTTTTTTTTCGTTGTTGCCGTTTCGGACACCAATTTAAATTAGCACGTGGTAGGACACCACATCTACACGAACGTTTTCGGGGCGGACCCTGACCTTCCGGAGACTGCGGAGGGGGACCCCCGTCGGCTGGTGCACCGACAGAAGAACGCCTCCATCTACAAGTACCAGCACCTGTACCTTCCCCCTCTCTATGGCATCTTGGGCCTTAAGGTAAGGCCGTTGTTGTTGTTGGCGGTGGTGTTAATGTTGTTGTTGTTGTTGTTGTTGTTGTTGTGGGAGCTGTGATGGTTCTGTTGTGTTTGGGTGCGGTAGCCCGTCAGAGGCCGAAAGAGAAAGAAGGTTGACTCAAGACCTTGGTTGATTAGAGAGTGAGAGACATGCGGTAGGCAACACCATCGCCATGCAGCATGCCCATCAACACATTTCATCCGCGTATCCCCCGGAGGTCCCGTAGACAGTATACTCTGCCGAGCACCCCAAACAGCCCCCCTGCTCGGTACGAGATACGATCTACGAAATCCTCGTCACGACTATCATTGCCAGGTAAAACGGCGATAAATCAAACTACGCATCCAAACGGAAATCATCCACCATTCATTCCATTTCAAACAATTTCCCAATAAAACAATGTTCTACGAAATCTGTCGATCTCCCAATAAAACATGCTCTACGAAATCTTTCAAATCTTCTGATGATATCAAATTACTATCTCCTAAAAGGTCTGTCAATAAACAATTCACCCTCTTGAGAAAAATGCTTTACCAAATTCTCAAGAAGTCAAAACACAAACAGTCACCCTTGGAAAAATACCCAGCACAGATACACATTACATCAGAATCACGTCAGAACGGGGACGGGTAACTCCGGGAAAACGTGT